GCAGATAAATATATATATATATATATATATAAAAACACATATAATACAGGAGTGCATATGTTTGTTTATATGTACTTGTGTTTACACAGATGTTCATACAAAAGGCAGACTATTGACACAAACATACTGGCAAATGAAACCCACTTTGTTTTTAATGTGTTTAACATTGTCATAAACCAATCAATTTATGTTAGAAAGCAGGATCGCTACTCTATACTTAAATCTACCACTGCTGATATACTCCTACAACCTTATTACACAGTCCAAAGTGAGATTTGCACAAGGCTGCTCATCAGTACAACCAGTTTTAAATAAAGTACAAGCAGCTGAGCCATTGATTACATCAGTAACATTGTAATAAAGTCAATGCTGAAAACAAATGTAACAATTCAATGTACGAAATACAACTAGAGACCACAAGGTTCAGTTCAAATGTATCTGCTACAACCCAATTTGGACTAAAACAAGCTCTCATATCAATAGATAAAATAAAGACGAAATGTCCAAGCACTAATGGCACAGCAGGTTACTTAATAAAAAAAAATAGTGTCACCAGATTAAAGTGCCACCAAGTTAAAAAAAAAAAAAAAAAAAAAGTCAATGTCAAATAACATCACCAGCAAATAGCCACCAAAATTACTAAAAATAAGTGTCACAAAAAGTAATGTGACCAATTAAAATAATAAAGTGTCACCAAGTTAAAAAAAAATAAAAATATTACATATATATATATATATATATATATATATATATATATATATATATATATACACACACACACACGAGATATTATGATTGCTCAAAATTCCATGAAAATTGACAACCATTTTGAGAAATTTTTTTCATCACTAATGAATGGTTAAATTCTCAATGAGACTCAATGCTTTAAACATTTCTTGGGTCTCAAGTTCAATCCACACTTCAAGTCAAACTATTATATCCAATCTACTGCCAAAGATGCTAGAAAAAGGGTCGGTTCATTCTATCACACCAGTGGGTATTTGAGTCCATTTGCCATGCTTTAAATTCACAAAAAGTCAAATAAGACCAAAAATGGAGTATTGCAGCTATATATGGGCTGGAGCTACTCAATCCTCACTTTCCAGCTTTGGTATTCAAAATCATTTATATGGTATTGTGGGTAATGACTTATTTTCCACTCTGCAATCTCTTTCCCCACAGACACAATGTTGCAAGCCTGCTGCTATGTCATCACTAATTTCTTGGCAGGCATTAGAGATAAGCTCCACCATTCGAGGCCTTTACAGTTAGGACATGCCTTGCCACTTCCATGGAGCTGAATCATGCTCATTTCCTTTGTGTTCTAATTGTAAATTTTTCCCCCCAAGAACTTTCACTTTGTGGAACAGACTTGTATATGGTTGCTTCCAGGAACACTTCAATCTTGACCTCTTCAAGCTTCAAGGGTCAATCATCATTTTTTCTCCTAATCTTCATTTCTTACCACTTTCTCTGCCTTTCATATTACACACTACATTCATTATTATCAGTTTATTGACTATAACCTTCCACTTTTTGTGGATCTCAAACCTTGTAGAGTGTGTGTGTGTGTGTGTGTGTGAATTAAAAAAAGATGTTCAAGCAACTTATCTCATGACCAATTAAAGAGTTTTGCATAACTCTGGAGTCAGTCAAGAGATAAGATATAACTGTAACATGATGAGACATGTTGATATGGCTAGATGTAACCATAAGTGCTATGCTAATAGTTTCATCTATAGCATTTCTCAATTGCAGAACTCTCTTTCAGCTTCTTGCTTCCCAATCAACTTTGATCTTCAAAAATTTAAATGCAATGTCAATCATTATCTTCTGTCAACTTAATTCTTGTTCTTTTATTGTTCTCTCTCCTTAATAGTAGTTATTTATCATATTCTCTAACACTCAGTAACCCCTTGCATCCTAGTAGCTTTATTGCTTTGCTTGGGGGTGAAACGATTAAAAAAAATATATATATAGTTGCTTGGACATTTAACTGATTAGTGTTGCTCTGCTTATATACTGAGCACTTTTATGGCAAAGATTCTGCTGGCCTTAAGTTTAAATTTAAGTGGATTGTTAACAGCATATCAACTCTTTCATTTTATGCCAAAGCTGATTTATTTTGATTTATATTTAGGGAAAATGGACAATATTTGTTTTGTTTTTTTTTTATATTATCAGATATAATCCAACTGATTTCAGGAATATTATAATTCTATTTTAATATTTTCAAATAGTTCTTTTAAGCTGTTTGCCTTGAATAAATTGTCTTTTAGATCAATGCCTTCAATTAGAAAATGTTTTAGTGTATATTGGCTTGGCATGTAGGACATCAAGGTGGTTCTTTTTGTTTCAGTAAGAAAGAATGCATAATTTTAGTGTGACTTATTCATAGTTGTGTTATAGTAACTTCTTACCATTGAGAATTTCCATAATGGCAGGGTTCCTTTACTGAGGGTTGGTAAAATTGTATTTAGTTTATTTTGAGTTTTTCTGCTCCACTGTTGCAGCATTTAATGAAGTTTTTATTTTTTGGGAGTTACTGACTGGGGATTATATGAACACAGTTTTAAAGAATTAAACTTAAACTAAGTTAAAACTTTTTTTTTTTTTTTAATTCCCCCTTGCACAGACATATATACTCCACTACATTCTCTTGAACAGGAGTAGGGGCTCATAGCTCATTTCCTGTTTAGCAAGGGTTTCCAGGTTCCCTTCTTTTTCTCTGGCTTTAATAGTGGAGCTGTTATGAATTTTTGTGATATGCATGGATGATGACTACGTCTCTTCATACTGAGGGTACTGGGTTGGCAGTTTTCTTGGTTGCTGTTCCCGACTGATAGTTAGGAGTCGGGATTCTTGCATGGCGTCTTGAGAGGCTGCTCCAATCAACAGCTGCATAATATCGGGATTCTTGCAGTGCCATGTTGCACATGGTAGGGTGTCCCTGCAAAAAACTCCAGTAAGCAACCCCTACACAAATTTGTAGTCTGCACCAGTTCCCTTCTTGTATGTTACATTAGACAACCAAGTGCTACTATTACTACTTCCTTACCAAAATAACACAGCATGACTATAAACAACCAATGATATAAACCTAAACCAGCTCAACAAAAAACACCTAAACCCCTTAACCTTTCTTTCTCCAACATTCATAGCATTTGTACCAATTTCTGCAGTGTGAAATCTTTCCGCTCTGAAAAGTCTGCAAACATCCTAGCTCTCTGTGAAACTAATCTTAACTTTTCAATCCCCTTTTCTGATTTCTCAATTCCTGGCTACTTTCCTCTCCTTAGAAAGGACTAATGTCCACATGCATGGTCTGGGAGTTTATGTTTGCTAACATTTCCTGCTGGCTAGGGAACTCTCTCTTGAATCTCCAACACCATTCTTACATGTGTCTCAGTCTCTCTCTACTTAACTCGGTCAACTATCTCTTCTTTCTTTACCAGTCTTCTTCCTCTCAAGACTGTTGAATGTTAGATAGTATTTAAGATAATATACACAAGGCCATCTCCTTACACCAGTTTGCAAATATATTTGTGTTCAGTGACTTTAATGCCATATCAGGTGGCTTTAACACTGCCACTGACCTTGCTGACATCCAAACCCTTAACTTTTCAATCACTCATGCAAGTGGTTGACTTCCCCATGCATTTCCCCAGTAACCCTAACAGACATGCTTCTCTTCTCGATCTCTTTGTTGCCACTATTCCTGACTATTGTCGTACTATCCAGCTCTGCCCTCTTGGCAACTCTGATCATGCAGTTGTGTCTGTGAGCATCTTCTTCCACTCCCCCACCAGCCAAGAACCTACTACCAACAGAATATCTTTCCATTATCAATAAGCAGATTGGGACTCATTCTCTGATTTCTTTGTGACATCCCTTAGCATGTCCTCAAAGAAGCAAAGTTACTGTTTGCTGATAGAATGAAACAACGTATAGCATCTCACAAGTTCAGTTCAAGAGATTTTTGGTGGCTCTGCAAGAGTGTGCTGAACAACAGCAAATCCTCAATCCCTCCTCTATTCAATCAGCAGATAAAGTTGAATGCTTTGCTCAGAAATTCTTTTCCAACTCATCACTCAACTGATTTGGAGTACCCATACCTGATTTCCACTCAAGAACTGAGGCTCTACTGAGTGATATGTGCATTTATTTCTATGTGAGCCACCCCAAAGAAAAATTTTTTTTTCCAATAAGGTAGAGCTGATAATTTTTTTTTTTTTTTTTTACTATGAAAATGTATTGCCACTAATTTTTTTCTAATGTATTTTTATATTTTCCTGTTTTGACCACAGTTTAGGGGTTCACTATTTCCCCATAGCTGGGACCCTAACAGATGCTACCACCCTGGGTCAGACTGGGTTTGGGAACAACAGCAATTAAGATATATTCAAAGGAGCTGTAGAAATTTCTGGTATCATATCTGAAGATAGAAGGTAGACATTACTGTTCCTGAGACAATGTTTAAATACTAGATAATGAACATTTACAACAATATACTTTGCACAATAAAATTAATTTATTCCTTAATCTTTACACAGCTAAGTATGTGTTTTTTATTTCACGGCCTGTAATCCTATTCTGTTAAGTCTCTTGAGATATTCTGCTGCTTGTGACCACCTTGATTGGTAGGTAAAATTTGTGCCAAGACAGAGAGACAGTTAGCCACTAAAAAGTAATTAGAATTCATAAGTACATATAAAGCTGAATGGGACGTGTTGAGATTTCTAAGGTAATAGAATACACTATTTATATACAATCAAGATCAATAAAGATTTGTGGTGGATTCAAATAAAGTGGGTAGTGCGTCTCTTAATTTACAAAATTTTATTAAACAACCCCCTCATTTATTAGAGATGCAAATGTGTATGTGTATTATTTTTGACAAGAGAGACCCACTTCAATACTGTGTGTTCTAACGCTTAAAGAAAAAAATTAATAAAACAACACCAACGAAACATTAAAGGATAATAAAAATAAAAACTCACTTTCACTTTACGAGGACCATGACTGACAGACCTGCTTCTGGGGCTGAACATTTTGAATACTTTCTCCAAACTTCCAAACATGGATCCCTTGAAAGACTTGCGCTCTGTGCTGCGCTGAAATCCAGACTTATGCAAATCTGTATCAACCGAAGAGGCCCTGGAGCAAAAAGAAAAAGAAATTAAAAAAACAGGCAAACATTTTAGAAAAGATCAAAGATTCTACAAAACATACTTTAAGACCTCTTGTTCTAAAAGCATCAGCTGTTATACATTGACATCTAGTGCGTCATTGTGCCTCATCTACCATTCAAGATTAAGTCCCTAAAAATACCAATATGAAGTGAAACAATGTTTGTGCATCATCAAATGAGTTGCATTTGTTTCAATATTTTATGCAATTACTTTTAGCAAATATGTTCAGTTATTATTACTCTCATGTTCATAAATTTGTGTTCCTATACAAAGGAAGTCATTGATTATGATCAATTTGAAACAGGGACTTTTAGATAACAAACAAAATAGATAAGAATTGGAACAATTTAAATTCTTTGTTATAAACAATTATGCATTATAAAAATACCTGGAACTTTGATTATAATAAGTGGGTCATTTTTAATTTATTTTAAAGAGCTTGGGACCAACAGATTTTGATAAACATATTAAATAGATTCCTCTGAACTTATAAATTAAAGAAGTTTGGCTGTTATGTCAAAAACTCCTTTAATTGTTTTTGATTTTAATTATTCTTTAAATAAAATTGAAACTTTAGTTCGTGGTAAATGAAACAAGTGAAAAAAATTTTAATCAGACTCCAATTTGTATAATATGAATTTGTATAATATGAATTTGTATAATATGAATTGCAATTAACTGAAAATTGATGCCAAGATTTAAGAAGATACTTCTTGGAAGACAAATTTGCAAAATCTTAATTGATAATCATTTTTTTTTGTTTTTCTTTTCAAATTTATTGACATGTAGATTTTGTAAAGTAAAACAATTTTTTGACTTTACAAGATAATCAAAAACTGAATATTTGAGATGAGAAATTATCCCAATTATAAATGGTTATGTTTGGACTAGATAGCCACAAAGATAAGGAGATTAGTCTGAACAAGTCAGTAATAATTTCTGTAAGCAATAGATTGTCATTTCAACAGATGTAGTTTATTGTTCAACCTTCATTCTATGTACCGTGTCCCTTTAAAACATGGACAATCATGGCTCTTCACAACTTCCTATCTTTTGAAGTACTTAGTAATATATATGCCCTGTGTATATGCATAAAAACTTCACTGACAATTTGGCTTAAAGATAATATAACAAATAATCCAAAGTGTTTTCACTGATAATACATATTTAAGATTTCCATTTAAGAGGCCCTCTTGCAATTTTTAATGGCTCTTTGAACCAGAAGAACTATGCATTTATATAATTTACATTGTTCAGACTGCTGTTCTCATCTTTATTGCCATATTCACAATGTTTCGGCTGTTGTACACTCCAGCCATCTTCAGTTGATTGGAATTTCAAACCAAACCTTTTATTTTGTCCACTGGGGTAGATTGTTCTAGTTCTACATCCATTAAAATGCATATCACTAAAGCCATCCCTATGGCCGAGACATAGAGATGACACCTTCATTGGCCACACCAGGAAGAGGTCCAGCTACTACTGAACCACGTGGACTTGCATTCTTGGATGTACTAATATCTCTAACAGAGCATGGGTTCAAGACATTTGTATACCACACCAGATAAGATCTCAACTTCAACTCCCAACACACATATGGTGTAAAGAAAGGGATCATCCCCTGCTTACAACATTGAGCAAAAGTGATAAGTGGTGACCCAGAGACATATAAAGAAGAATAAGCAGTACCCTACAGCGTGGCAGCAGCTCCGACAAACTGGAATAAAAGGGTACAAGAGGATAACAACACTCAGAAAACAGCCTTGGTTTGCTTACCCTATGTGAAGGGATTATCAGAGAAAATACAAAAGATCTGTGGTTCATATAACATCAGGGCAGCCTTTAAAAGCGGTTCAACACTTTGCAGACACCTCTTCCAAGTAAGACCCCCACCCCATAGAGGAGAACATGACTGTGTGTATACCATCCCATGATGTAGTAAGAAATATAAAAGAGAAACAGGCCACCTCCTTCAGATGAAACCGCAAAAACATCGTAAAACTGTAACATGAGGGGAAATAGAAAAATCAGGTGTAGCTGACCATATAAGAAGGAAAAGGGGAGATCCTTGTGGGGTGAGGTTGAAATCACTGGAAAATACGAAAATCAGCACATAATCTCCTAAGCTGGCCAAGCATAGAAATGAATACAATATTGGAATGAGTAATATGGAGTGCTTAGAGAAAAGCAATAATAACAAAATTGCAATAAGAGCTCTGGTAAAAAAATGTATACTGAGACATTAAGTTTATGTCACATACATTCATACACTGATGTCCTCAAGGACACAAGGCACATCTTTATCTAAAGATTTTTTTCCATAGAATTCAAAGGAATATTTTTTTAAGGATCTTATCAAGTGCAAATGATAATCAAAAAATAATTATCTCAAAAGTATTTAATCAGATACTATGAATTATTGTTGAATATTACAGAACCAATGTTCTATGATTGTTAAAAATAAGAAAAATAAATAAAAAAGAGTTTTTACTTAAAAGGCAATATATGAAGTACTGTTGGCTAATTTTCTTCTCATGACATGGCATACATTTGTAAAGTTGTTTTATCAGCCAAAAAGAAATATCAGCACTTACTTGCTAGATTCTGAGACTGGAGTCAAGAGTGACAAGTTATGGAGTTGGGAGTCAACTGATCGAGAGGGAGAGAGCACAATTGATGGTTTTGCCTTGGATATTGGAGATGATGCTTCAGCTATATCAAAAAAAAATTTTCAAAATAAGTTTAATTATTCAGGTTTAAAACAAGAAGAAAACAATGAATAATATTGTACTTTTTATTTGAACATGTGAAGGAATGGTTTGGCACTTTTCATACTTCTGTGTAGGACTCAAAGTGTAGAGCTTTCAAAATGGAACAATGTAAAACATTTCCAACAAATCAATTTACATTAAACAATAAAGATTTACCAAACAATCAGTGAAGAAATGAATGTTGGAAAGATGAATAAGTAAATAGAAAAAACATACTGATTACACATAAGTCAAGAGGTAGATGTGTAATAAAAATACATGAAGATGTTAGTCTAAATAATTAATCAAATAAAATCCTTGATTTATATAGTAAATGATTTTGCTCTCATTTTTTTCTATTTTGTAGAATAAAGGCTGATGTTTTTTGTCTCTCGCACAAAGTAGTTTTTAATGACTAAAGAAAAAAAAGTTATCTAATCAAATTATGTGATTGATTTTTGTTTCTTCTTTTTGATCAAAACTTCAAAAAAGAATATTGAGAAATATAAAAGATTGAAGACTAAAATTAATTTACCAAAACAAAATAAATAAATTAAAAAAAAAAGAAAAAAAGAGAAGAAAAAAGAGAAGAAAAAAGAAAAAAAAGAAAAAAGAGAAGAAAAAAGAAAAAAGAAAAAAAAAAAAAAAAAAGAAAAAAGAAAAAAAAGAAAAAAGAAAAAAAAAAAAAAGAAAAAAAAAAAAAAAGAAAAAGAAAAAAAAAAAAAAAAGAAAAAGAAGAAAAAGAAGAAAAAAGAAAAAGAAGAAAGAGAAAAAAAAAAAAAAAAAGAAAAAAAAAAAAAAAAAAAAAAAAAAAAGAAAAAAAAAAGAAAAAAAGAAAAAAAAAAAAGAAAAAAAGAAAAAAGAAAAAAAAGAAAAAAGAAAAAAAGAAAAAAGAAGAAAAAGAGAAAAAAAAGAAGAAAAAGAGAAAAAAAAGAAGAGAAAAAAAGAGAGAAAAAAAAAGGAAATTGTTCTTTTTCTATTTGTAAAATGTTTAGGCCACCAAAATGTGTGATATATCTTAAATTGCAATGTTAGCCTCCCATTTTACCAACAAATTACAAAGTTCATCATTCATTACAATGTATTTGCACCTAGCATGAAACATTGGGAAGGTATTTTCTTCAATTAGCAAGAATAGTGTCCATTTCTCTCTAAGAGTTTCATTGTACATTCTTTTATGTGCCAGTGTGAATCTGGTTAAATTGGACAGGTAAAGATCAATAAGATTGCAGATTCTTCTTTGTATTTTATCAAGAATCTCTAAATAAATAGCAGAAGCACTAGACAAAAAAAGGAAAAGCAAAAAAAAAAATTGAAGCACAAAACAAAAAAAAAATAGCAAAAAACAAAAAAGTAACAAAAACAAAAAAAAACTTATAATTAAAAATAATTATAAAGACTTATAATTTTTTCTCACATTTCCCCCCCCCCTTCTTTCAGAAATTAAGGGAAATTTTTTTGTATTTTTTTAATTTTTAACATTTCTCTGCCTCTGTGTTTTATTTATATTTTGTATCACCAAGAAATTATTCAAATATCATTTTAACGCAAACAAAATGAAACTGTCTTTTTGTCACCTGCAGGACAGACAATACTCACTTTTCCCATCTAAAATTTGTTGCAGCTGTTTGCCCATCAAAGGAGAGCGATTGTGTTTTGGCGTCTTCACCGACTTGCTGTTTGCTCTGGAACGGGGTGTGGCCACAGAGTAAGGAATTGCAAATGTGTCATCAGTTTTATGTGGAGTCTCCAGCAGATTCTCTTTGTTTTCTTTTCTTCTTGGGGTCTTGGGGCTGGCTGTCAAATCACGACTTGGCTTCCTCTTTGAGTTGGCTTGATTATCTTCCTTTATCGGTACAATATATGTCTCTTCTAAATGAGACATGACTTGGTTGTATTTGTTCTTTTTGGTTGAAACCCTTGCATTCATTGACCACTCGCTGGCAGGAACGTCCTTTATGATGTTCTTGATGGAGGTTGGTGTGTGCTCAAAATGGTATGGGACTGGTTCTTTCAGATATCTGTCAGATAATTTGGCCACCACAGGATTCGTCTCGGTGTTATTGCTATTCCAAATCTACAAAGTAAGAAACAAAAAGTAAAAGGATTAGCACTAAACATCCAACTTGTTTTTAATACTAAAGTTCACCCAATACGAGGCTCAAGAACCACTCAAGGAAGTGGAGTAGTTATGACAAATGAAGTTTGTGATATGAATTTAAACAGAGATATTAGGAAATTAAGCTTATGAAGATAAGGAGGATAGATAATGATTGACCCTTGACTTGAACAGGTTAAGTGTTCATGATTGATTGTTTTTTTTTATGGCTTATCAACCTTTTGCAGGTTATTTAAAACCAGAAAATATTTTTAGATTGTAAGAATTTTTTTAGAGATAATAATTTATTGATACAAGTCCTACTAATTAACCCATATAACTGGAAAGGGGGAGAAGAGGTGAATTCGAACCTTTTCTAAGGGTAATTGCACATAAGTGAATATAATGAATTTGACAGGAAATAGAACTCTGCTCTCTGAATTCCAATTATGCATTATACCACCCACACACCCAAAACTTACAGAACCTGGTATTCCCAAGCAGTACGTGTTCAGGGACGCATCCATGCAGGAGTAACAGTTATTGGGAAAAAGCTGTCTAAATGGAACTTCCTCCATAGATTTGAAATATAGAGGAAAGGAAGGCGATTCAACTCCATGGAAGTAGCATAGTGTATCCTAGCTATAAAGGTCTAAACTGGTTGAACTAAATGTACCTCATCTAAACATTTGCCACAGAAATATCAATACTGTAGTAATAGGTATGATACATTGCATCTGTAGGATAGAGGCTGCAGAGTGGAGAACAAGCCTCCTACTTAAATATCATGTAAATGACTTGAACTATCAAGACTGGAAATTAAAAAGCAACAGATAAAAGCAAATTAATCAAAATATTTTTTTATTGTGAAACTGCTTCGTTTCCAAACTTTAAGGAATATTATACAGTTAGACATGAAAACATTTTAACATTGAAAAATAATATCTTCAGTTTGCATTACACTAACTTATAAAATTTATTTTATATATGTATAAATAAAAGTAACTTCTAGAATTATTGCATCAATTTTACAGTTTATTTGACAAAAGTTTCAAAAATAAGATTAAAAAATAGAATGTTAAAAGCACTTAATAACGCTACATAAATTGTTTTGAAGTCCTAAAAAATAGGGTGGAATTTTCCCCATTATATAGTCTAATTTATAAAGAAAAAGTGAAAAAAAAAATATCAAAGAAAGAAAAAGTGAAAAAAAAAATATCAAAGAAAGAAAAAGTGAAAAAAAAAATATCAAAGAAAGAAAAAGTGAAAAAAAAAATATCAAAGAAAGAAAAAAAAAAAATAAAAGAAAGAAAAAAGTGAAAAAAAAAATATCAAAGAAAAAAAAAGTGAAAAAAAATATCAAAGAAAGAAAAAGTGAAAAAAAATATCAAAGAAAAAAAAAAGAAAAAAAAATATCAAAAAAAAAAATAAAAAAATATCAAAGAAAAAAAAGTGAAAAAAAAAATATCAAAGAAAGAAAAAGTGAAAAAAAATATCAAAGAAAGAAAAGTGAAAAAAATATCAAAGAAAGAAAAAGAAAAAAAAAATATCAAAGAAAAAAAAAGTGAAAAAAAAAAAAATATCAAAGAAAGAAAAGAAAAAAAAAATCAAAAGAAAGAAAAAAAAAAAATATCAAAGAAAGAAAAAAAAAAAAAAATCAAAAAAAAAAGGAAAAAAGAAAAAAAAGAAAAAAAAAAAAATATCAAAGAAAGAAAAGTGAAAAAAAAAAAATATCAAAGAAAGAAAAAGTGAAAAAAAATAAAAAAGAATCAAAGAAAAAGTGAAAAAAAATATCAAAGAAAGAAAAAAGTCAAAAAAAAATATCAAAGAAAGAAAAAGTGAAAAAAAAAATATCAAAGAAAGAAAAAGTGAAAAAAAAAATATCAAAGAAAGAAAAAGTGAAAAAAAAAATATCAAAGAAAGAAAAAGTGAAAAAAAAAATATCAAAGAAAGAAAAAGTGAAAAAAAAAATATCAAAGAAAGAAAAAGTGAAAAAAAATATCAAAGAAAAAAAAAGAAAAAAAAATATCAAAAAAAAAAAAGGAAAAAAAATATCAAAGAAAGAAAAAGTGAAAAAAAATATCAAAAGAAAGAAAAAGTGAAAAAAAATAAAAGAAAAAGAAAAGTGAAAAAAAAATATCAAAAGAAAGAAAGTGAAAAAAATATCAAAGAAAAAAAAGAAAAAAAAAAATATCAAAGAAAGAAAAGTGAAAAAAATATCAAAAAAGAAAAAGTGAAAAAAAATATCAAAGAAAGAAAAAGTGAAAAAAAAATATCAAAGAAAGAAAAAGTGAAAAAAAAATATCAAAAGAAAGAAAAGTGAAAAAAAAAATATCAAAGAAAGAAAAAGAAAAAAAAAATCAAAAGAAAGAAAAAGTGAAAAAAAAATATCAAAGAAAGAAAAAGTGAAAAAAAATATCAAAGAAAGAAAAGTGAAAAAAAGAAATATCAAAGAAAGAAAAAGTGAAAAAAGAAATATCAAAGAAAGAAAAAGTGAAAAAAGAAATATCAAAGAAAGAAAAAGTGAAAAAAAAAATATCAAAGAAAGAAAAAGTGAAAAAATATCAAAGAAAGAAAAAGTGAAAAAATATCAAAGAAAGAAAAAGTGAAAAAAAAATATCAAAGAAAGAAAAAGTGAAAAAAAAATATCAAAGAAAGAAAAAGTGAAAAAAATATCAAAGAAAATGCGAAAAAAATATCAAAGAAAATGCGAAAAAAAAAATCAAAGAAAGAATAAGAAAACAAAAGAAACGAAAGAGAGCAAACTATTACAAAGAGCTACCTTAGGCTGTAAGGGGAGCAAGAGACGTCTCGCATCATGTAAGTCTAATGGTTGATTTTTATATTTTTTCTCCAAGAGAAGGAAGTAAGTGGCTGTAAGATAATCGTATTTCCACTGAAATAAAATGCAAAAAGAACACCTTTTAAAAATGTGAAAATTAAATATATATAAAAAAAAAAATAGAGACAAGGAACAAAAACAAAAATATGCCCAAAGCAAAGGTGAAAAAAAGAAATGTCAAGAATAGGTTAAAAGAAAAATGTTTATCAAATATTATAGACTTTTCTTTTTGAAAAGTTTATATGCATAATTTCACATGTGCACAGAAAAACAGAAATTAAGATATCAAAGGAAAAACCTTATGAAAAAACAAAATCAGAAATTTTATTTAAAATTCATGGTAAAAATACACAAATTATAAACTATTGAGAGAAAAATATTTTTTCTGTACCAAACCTTCTTTTGCAATCGTAGTGAAAAAGAGAAATAATGTGTTGCCAAATATATATATATATATATATATATATATATATATATATATTAGCTTAAAAGCCGCCCTATTGAGTGGCATATAAGCTAGCTCCTGCGGAGGGCTCTTGATTGACCATTCATCACAATATGTAGGGAGGAGTAGATGCGACTGGTAACAAACTACAGAAGAACTCAAAATTGATTGCAGCATTTAAGTATTGCATTAATGTTTAAGCTTACTTTTTAAAAGTTCAACGATAATTCATCTGCCACCACTTAATTTAAAGACAATTTGATGTACGTAAGTCTTTACTTTCCATACAAACAATTTTTTTTTTTTTTTATTTCATGGATGACTTTCACTGGAATTCACAATTAATATCAATTATTCCCAAATTTATTTCCAATTTATAAAAATTGCTATTGTACAAAACAATTTGTCACAAGAAACAATTGCAGTAATGAAAACTTGGGAATCCTAAATTCCAGGATTGAAAATCCAGATCCAACTCAGAATGTTTTTAAAGTCGGCCTGAACTAACATTATGATATTAGTTCAATACTCGTTTCTTTGCTTCTAACAAAATGTTCCTGTTTCTTAATATTTTGCTTAACTTTTGGAAGGCTTCTTTTGCTATCCAGTGCACCTTTGGATTTCAGTGTCGCACTTTCAGTCTTCTGTTAAAACACTTCCCAGATATTTAAACTGTTGTATTTGTTGGTATCGCCAATTTGTAATTTGCATGTCAGGCTGTTATTTTTGCTAACCATGCATTGCCTTCTGACAATTTATGTTTAGTCCTTTACTCACTTTCCTCTAGGAGTTCTTGTAGTTTTGTTTCTGTGTCTGCTATCAACACTATGTCATCTGTAGATCTTATGTTGTTAAGATTGTGATCACCAATAATGAATCCCTGGTCAGTCAGTCAGTTATGTGCCATGCATGATACACACTTAGGTAATCATATATCTTTCAATACATGACTGATGAGGCAGATTTTTTCCCACAGTAGGTTTCCATTTCTTTCTTTCTGCGGTAGACCAGTTGCCATCCAAGCCTATAGAACCCAGTCTGTCCTGCTATTTACCCATAGCTGAGGGGGAGAAGAAGATTCATACCTTTCCCAAGAGTATTAGCACATAAGTGGAATTCGAACTCAACTCTCCAATTTCTCAATCCAAGCCGCTATCCATTACTCCACCATGCCTACTGAACGACTTCTAATTCTCTCAGAATCATCTTACTATATAGGTTGAATAAGTCCAGTTAGAAGACACATACATGTCTTACATCCATTTCTATCTTTGTATATTTACTGAATTCATTTTCTATCCATATACAGGCAGTTTGATGCCAGTATATGTTCTGGATTATTCTAATATCATTCCCAAATATGTCAAGGTTAACAACTAGTTCCAACAGTCTTTTATGACATGCTTTTGCAAATGTTGTCAAACAATAAATCTAAAATGTCCAAATTCCTTACTAGTATGTCACACACTGTATACTATATGACTAATGGCCTTGCACCAGTTAGATTATTCCAAATGAATAAATCTAGAAGTTTTTCACCTGAACAATGAAGTGAAATAAAGGTGTAAAAAAATAAATGCACAAGGGAAAAAACAGAAATTCCTTTCTCATCAGGTATTCATAGCAAGATAATAAAGGCAGCATAAAAAAATACTTTGTTTTATTAACTTGTACCAGCCAATTAGAATTCTCAATGAGTAAAAGAAAACAAAGCATATTGTAATAGTTGACCCCCAGCAAGGAGACATGCCCCCACCGCACCCAGTTGCAGTGAACCTAAACAAGGCAGAATGTCATTGCTTTTTTTTTTTTTTTTTTTTTTCCACACTTGATATCAAAAAGAATCCAAACAAGTGAAATGTATGAACACATCTTGCAGGATCTACATACCCAGCCCTGTTTTTTGTGCCTGTTCTCTCCGCTTCCAAACTTGGACGGAAGTGGAAGTGGGGTGGGGGGATACTTACTACTTACACCCAAATTCTGCCAATTGCTCGTGACAACATTTAGTACAGCATTATATCCTTTTTGATGAGGCATTCATCAGCAGATAACATCAAAAGGCCAGAACCTAGGAGTCTGCAAAGATAGCATCACCAACTAATTTGTGATCTATATTTTTTTTTTTTTTTGCTTCATTCTTTGAGAACTATAAACATTTACCCAGAGACAAAAAAAAATAGAAGAAAAAAAGCAGCTAAGCTTAATAGAGTCATATGAATGTACCATTTGTATATAAAGAAGGAAAAAAGAAACAAAGAGAGTGCAAGAAATAGTGGCAATGTTGCCAAAGTCACACTTAATAGAAACATTTTCTAAAAAAGTAAGAGAAACAATCAAAATATAAAACAAGATTCAAATAAAAATACAGATGAAAAAAGGGATAACAAAAAAAAAAAAATAGAACCAATGGTGGGGGCAAAGACAAAAGATTAAAAAACATAAATCAATGGAGGAAACAAAAAAAAACTTTTTTAAGTTATGAACAAAAGGGGTACCAAAAGAAGAGGGGGACAAGTGAAATAAAGGACAATAAAAAGAGAGTTAGGGTGGGGTGTAAATTTGGAGAAAGTAAAAGGTAAGAACCAAACAGTTCAGGGAGAAAAGACAAAAAAGCACTAAAGAGAAGGGTGAGATAAAACAAAATTAAAATAGGCAGAAGACAAAGAAGAAAAAAGAGGATAAAGAAAAATATAAAAAAGAACTCAGTGGGAAAGAAAGACAGGAAAAAAGAAAAGTGGGGGGAGGAGGAGGAGGAATAGGAAGAAGAAAAGGAGGATGGTGTAAGAAGAAAAGAGGATAGGAGAGGAACAGAGGGAAGAAAAAGAGGGCATGGGAGGGATAATGAGGATGTGAGGGGGATATAATGGATGGGGAGAAAAATGACAAAATTAGAGGGAAGTACATGAAAAAAAGGAGAGTGAACAAAAGAAAAATAAAACAATTGGTGGGGAGAATATTAGCATAATACAAATGTGAAAAGAAAAAAACAAAGATGAGAAAGTAAAAAAAAAAAAAAAAAAAAAAAAAAAAAAAAAAAAAAAGAAGAGCAGGAGAAAGAAGGAAATTAATATCTTATATCAAAAGCACATTACCTTCAATATAGACCAAATGGAAAAATAACCTGTTGAAGATTTCAAGGGAAAAAAGGCACTTTAAACCATTAGATGCTGAGATCATATCACAAAAAGCCAAATTTAGTAAGAGAAGAAAATGTTGCTAAGAAATAAAGGATAATTTATTAGGACAGAACTTTGTAGATAGATCAAGTTAAGTCAATGGCTACATGCAAGAATCAAGAATAGTTGGTAGAATCCACATGTATATATCTTTATAAATAAAGAGAGGATTCCAAAATTATACAGAAGTAAAAAAATGACTTGATTGAAAGGCCTACAGTTCTAATGACACAGAAAGTAAAGCAAAAACTGTACCTTTCTGAAATTTAAATAAAGCAAAGAGAGAGAGTGAAAGATATTGAATAGTTAAAAAACAATTTGTGGTTAAATTTTAGAAATAAATTGTGTTTAGTACAAATAATACAATAAAAATTTAAATTGTGATTTACACTGACTGAACTGAGCTATGCACAAAACATGAAGACTTGAAAAATATATTCTATTCTTCAATATGCTATGTCCCTTCAAGACATGAGTGATCCTTTCCTGTCCTTTGTAGCTCTTAGTAACATTTGTATTTTTACTATCTTTCCTAATCCCTGTTCTGCCAATCATTTACACAAGCTCATTAAGTAGGTTATGTGTTGTTTTCCTGTCACTCCTGCCCTTAATATGTCCTTTGAGCGACAAATTTTTTAAGCTCTCTTTCCTCATTATGTGTCCTAGAAATTTCAACTATCTTTCTGATTTGAAATGCAACTCTCCTTTGTTCCCATTTTCTCTAAAACTTCTTTATTACTTACATGTTCAGTCCATGGTATTCTCAGCATCCCTCTGCAGAACCACATTTCTGTTGTTTCATGTCTCTTCTTCATTTGTGAAGAGGTTGTCCAGCATTTACTACCATATAGGAGAAGTGATATTACATAACAGTTTAGTGCTCTTTTTTCGTTTCTAACAACATTTTTGTATTTCTTAATACTTTGCTCAGCTTTTGGAAAGCATCTTTTACTATCCCAATGCACCTTCAGATTCCAATGTTGTATTTTTTTTTTTTTTTTGTCCGTCATTAAAACACTTCCTAGATATTTCAATCTTTGTACTTTGGTACCTCAAATTTGTAATTCGGATTTTGAGATAACCATACATTCTGTCTTTTTACAATTGACGTTTAGTCCTTTCTTCTTACTTTCCTTTACTACATCCTGCAGGAGTTCCTGTAGTTTCCTTTCTGTTTGTTGTCAACATTGTGTCATATGTTGTTAAGATTGTGGTTGCCAATAATGAATCCTGGTAGGACTTCTGGTTCTCTCAGAACCACATCTGTTACTATTATACTACCCACATAGTTTGCTGTTGTTGAACATGGCAATAAAGAAATTTGATTAAATTGCATGTGCCTGAAAAATAATTTGTTACGACAGATTTTGTTTTATGTCCTTTCAGTACATGGACAATTATGTCTTTCCATAACTTCCTGTCTTCTGTAA